CAACTAGATTCACTTTCTGATCGAACGAGGTACTGAAGTCAAAATTGAATTTTGGACGAGTAGCTTATGAGTTATAAGAATTTAATGTTTAGAGAAGTGGTGTAGTAGACAAACATTTTGCGGGGTAACCCYGTACCACTTCACTCTGCCAATCTAAGCTTTAAATACTCATAACTCATAAACTACTCGCCCTAAATTAGATTTTTATAAATTAAAATACTTAGAAAAATACTCTGCTTTGGAATATGAAATTAAAACTCTAGGTTGTCATTCAAAAAAGTAAAACTCTTAAAAAATTATAAGGATAAAAAATATTAAAAAACATAATTTTTTAACAACATGAAAATTTGTAAAAAAATATTTTAAAAAACATTGATATATTTTGAAATAATGTGTGGTTCATGATAAAAGAATCACCCTGTTTAATGTATGGCACGATCGACTTGATCGACTGTAACTAGCAGAAAGATGATAGAGAAATGAAAAAATTATCTGATAAAGTTTTCTCTGCTATATTTGCAGATTTTTTTGAACAGACCTCCGAAAAATTTGTTATTATTATTATTTTTGTTTTATTGAAATAAATCCACAATCTATATCTTTGTACAATGAGTACTGAGTAGGTTTGATAAGTGACGAGTAACGTGAATCGTGTGATTAGGGAGGATACCCAGTGGTTACACCCTATAAAAATTAGTTATGTAAATCTATTTTGYGCTATATAATATAAAAAGGTAAGATACTAATATATATTGAAATAAATCGATGTATTTTTTAAATAAAAATGTTTCACTAATTATTATATAATTATGTAATAGTTTATTTTTTAAAGATTTTAAATCTCAAAAAAATCGATTTTATTTAAAAATTTATTTTCATCGTGTTGTTATGCGGATGACAAAAAAAAAGTTTACTAGGCTTGTAATAGGTACCTATACAAATATTTGGTATATGCCTATAATATAACATATAGGCATACATAAACACACGTTAGTCATGACAGTGTGGGGTACATAATAATATAATAATATATTGTGTGTTACAGTATGTGTATTTTTTGATTCTGATGATTTTTATTTTACAGAAAAATGCCCACGTCTGCCATATCCGAAGAAGCGTCGTTGCTCAGGTGAGTGTTATGCTCGCGAAAGTAGCTTAATTTATTTTCATATAGTTGTGTATTTGTGCAATCTAGGCTGTCTTTTGATGTGTCACGGCGATGCATATTACCAAGTTTGAGCCTTTTGATTGATAGTTATTTATTTTCTGTGCGAAGTTTAGGTCCTCCTATAACCAAAATATTAACATTTATAATTTACACGGTATCGTTGACACCGTTTTTACGCACATCGTACCATTTATTTATTTATTCATTTATTTATTTTTTTTTATTTACCATTTACCATTTTACCATGTCCATATTATAACAACTCAAAAGAGGTCACTCGTATCGCCCACTTGGCCCTAACTCGGCGCCACTGTGGCTGCATTGAATATAATAACATGTTACATCCCGTTAATGAAATTACTCAGTCCGCGAAATGGACATTTTTTTTTACTGTTTCATTACTCTTGAGTAGGTGARCCTTGAACAGTTCGTGTGTACTTTGGGTGATCCTGCGATAATAACGAATGATATTTTATAATTTATAAACTTATAATAATTACAAATTTTTTAATATGATATAATTTTTATTACTTACTATATTTCATGTATCATGTATTTTATAAAATTTTACAATAAATTAGAGTTTTTTTTTCAACTAATATACTTATACATACACACACGCATCAAACAATTTTGAAAATATTTATAGTTTACCGTTTTGTGAATTGGGTGTAACATTGAAATACTGCATGTATTAAAATTTTATATCATAACAATAACCATAGTATGCTTTCTATGTGTGATGTAGTGGCATGCGATCAGAGACCTTGGAGGAAGTGGAACTTACCGGCGTCCGTCCGTCGCTACCTGCTGTTCGGACGTTTACCAGGGGCAACACCGGTGTGGAAGAGGTGTACGTGGACACCGACAATGGGCCGGTGTGCGTGGCCGTACAGGGCGATCGGTCCAGGCCACCCATACTCACTTACCACGACTTAGGACTGAATTGTAAGCAAACCTTATGTTTTGAGTTAAACTTTCTCGGTTAGGTGTAACCTAACTACCTACTTGGGTGGTTCCTTTTGTTACGCTGAAACATTGAAAACGACAATCTTTTCACTTCAATTATTTCTAGTATACCTATGCAATTTATAATTAACGAAAATTTAAACGATTTCATTTATCATAAATATGTGTAACACACTGACATGTAAACTGAGTATTGCAGAGTACTAGCTAGGTAGGTATTGTATACATAATAAGCGTGCGCAGGTATTCTTGGCAGGGGAGGCAATACCTAAGCTAAGGAGGTCCAGACTCCAATCCTCCTACCCGAWTTTCCCCAATTGGTAGGTATAATATTATATTTTGGTAGCCACCTCCCCTGCCTMCCCCGTGCGCACGTTTATGATTGATATTATACTTGATTTAAGAGGATATTATATATGGTATAGTTACAATTACCTTTTAATTGCATATAATTATGTGTTGTTTTTCTAAGTCTTTAAAAATTATATCAAACCTTGATTTTTATTTTAACTAACAAAAAATTGTGTATTGTCATCGAAAATCTAATACATATAATAATTCTGCTACTAGCTAAATGTGCCGCTTGGTATGTTGTAGTCATTCAACGAAATTTTAAGACATTCTCACGAATTGTTGTGTGGTCACAATAGTTTATATAACGTTACGCTATGTTTTTCATTCGACGAGTAAAACCCTTTTATCGTCATTTAGTTGGCGGAGTGGACAAGGGAGGGGTTAATTTTGACATTACGCTTAATTTTTCTGACTATAAAGAGCAAAATTTTTCGTTTGGACGTTTWCTAATGCTTATTCGTTTTATAGATGTCACGAGCTTTCAGACATTCTTCAATTACAGTGAAATGCGCACTCTCATGTCAAATTTTTGCGTGTACCACGTGAACGCACCCGGA